GCGAAACTCCGTCTCCAAAAAAAAAAAAAAAAAGAAATATTAAGTAACTAGTGAGTCTGAGAGAGTGACCGGACCATATAGCAATAGTAAATAAAACCTATGCATAAAAGATTTTTAGGAGAGTTTAAAAAGCCTGAGAAAGGTTTAATGAAATTAAGCTTTTGAAAAATGAATATGTAGTGCTTCAGTACATTGTTTTAGGGAATGCAATAGAGATGTCTTAGAACTTTTTCATGGGGGTATACAACACATTTCCAATCAGATTATTCATTATTTTAGGACAAGATCTATAACCATTTCTTTAGCATCTCCTACCACTCTTAATTCATAATGGACATTCATTAATATGAACAGATTTATTTCTTTTTAAAAATGGAAAACAGGAATAAAACCAAATTACTTACACTGTTTGTAGATTTCATTGACAGTATTGAAGTCATTTATGTCAGCCAGAAGAACTGTTGTTTTCACCACTAGAAGATATAAACATTGTCATTAGGTTTAGTTATTTGGTCTGATCCAAAACATTACTTAGAAAAAGAGTATATGATTCTGAGACAGTCTTGATTAAAATGGGACTGAAATGGGACCAAAGAAGTGAAGTAGAACAGTTGCTATTCAAAACAACTTGAAATAGCAACAAAGGTGTGGCATGGCATATTACTGGATGCCACATACTTTTCAAAAAGACCAAAGAACTATCAAACAGAAATGTGAAATAAGATCAAATTGCTCACCATTAGTGAAATCACAGCTTGCAGCTTTCAGAATTTCACTCATGTTTTTAAGAGCCTGTGAACCAAGCCAAGAAAGGCCTAAGTCACTGATGTTAGATTTAAAACTTTAATTAAATTCAAATAATCATCTTTTACTAGTAACTCCTTAAATAGCTTATGTTGCAGAAAAATCTTCCCTACTCTTGTTAGGAAGCTTACAAGTGAATTGTTTCTTGGCTTTCCTTTCATAGAATGAGTCTTTCTGAAATGCAATGAAAAGGTTGTCTCCTTTTGTGCTTAAAATGATTGGGTTAGGCCAGGCGAGGTGGCTCACGCCTGTAGTCCCAGCACTTTGGGAGACCAAGATGGGTGGATCATGAGGTCAGGAGCTCGAGACCAGCCTGTCCAATGTGGTGAAACTCCGTCTCTACTAAAAACACAAAAATTAGCTGAGTGTGGTGGTGGGTGCCTGGAATCCCAGCTACTTAGGAGGCTGAGGCATAAGAATCGCTTGAACCCAGGAGGCAGAAGTTGCAGTGAGCTGACAGCGAACCACTGCACTCCAGCCTGGTGACAGAGCGAGACCCTGTCTCAACAACAACAAAAACGTTGGGTTAAAGTCCCTTCTTCAGTGTTAAATGTGTTAATTGTTCAACCAATGTCCACAGAAATAATTTCTGGAGTTCTTCACTCGATATTGCTTCAAGGATAAGTATGAACTAGTAAGCATTAAAACATGTTTTCTTTTAAAGCAATATTTGACTTTAAAGAGTTCTTTTTCCTTTTTCTCAAAAAACAGTAAATTAACTGACACACTAGCTTCTGGAAGAACATTTATTTTATCTTTAGCTGTTTTTGGGTTCATTCTTCCTTCCTATTTTGCTGGTCACAATGTAATATTTGATTATATTCTTGTGTCTTTTAAAATAATCTTCTAAATAGGTAATATTTGGATATGGCAACAAAAAAATTCAAAAGCTATTAAAAAAGCATACACAGTGTAAAGATGTCTCTTACCCTTCTCTGCCTCTCCCCAGTTTCCCTCCTCAGAGGTAACCACTGTTTCTAATTGATTGTATATCCTTCTAGGTACAGTCAATGCTTTTGCTGCACACTTTTAAACACACAAACAAGCACACATGGTGGTATACTGTGCATGTTGTTCTGCATCTTGATTTTATTTTACCAAGGAACAATTAGAGATCTTTACACATTAATTTAGTTGTATTGATCTAGCATGATTTATTCAACCAGTTCTTTATGAGTGGTCATTTAGGTTTTTAAAAATCTTTGAGCAATATATGACTCAGTACATGCATTAAATTATAGTTTATTGTTTTATTTTATTTTTTGAGATGGTGTCTTGCTTTGTCACCCAGGCTGGAGTACAGTGGCTCTATCTCAGCTCACTGCAATCTCCGTCTCCCAGGTTTAAGCCATTCTCCTGCCTCAGCCTCCTGAGTAGCTGGGACTACAGGTGCATACCACTGTGCCCAATTAATTTCTTTTTTCTTTCTTTCTTTTTTTTTCTGAGACGGGGTCTCACTCTGTCACCCAGGCTGGAGTGCAGTGGTGTGCCCTTGGCTCACTGCACTTCCACCTGAGTTCAAATGATTCTCATGACTTAGCCTTGGCTGGGAGTATAGGCATGTGCCACCACACCCAGCTAATCTTTGTATTTTCAGTAGAGACGGGGTTTTGCCATGTTGGCCAGGCTGGTCTCAAACTCCTGACCTCAGGTGATCTGGTCGCCTCGGCCTCCCAAAGTGCTGGGATTATGGGTGTGAGCTACCATGCCTGGCCTCCCCTGACTAATATTTGTATTTTTAGTAAAGACGGGGTTTCCCCATGTTGATCAGGCCAGTCTTGAATTCCTGACCTCAAGTGATCCACCAGTCTCGGCTTCCCAGAGTGCTGGGATTACACGTGTGGGCCACCATGCCTGGCCTAAATGATGGTTTAATTGTATTTATTGGATTAGAATTATATTCCCCATGCTTATTTTTAAAAAAGTTTACTGTTCACATTTTACTTCTGTGGTGGTAGTTTTTTTTTTTTTTTGAAGTGGGGCAGGTAAGCGGCCCTGAAAAGAAATTTCCCAATCCATGTAGAAGTGGCAACATGTCATCTGACGTTAATGGTTCAGGTTAAAGTCACTTTAGTGATAAGGAGGTAGAATCTCTTTTTTGGTTGTTAGATGATTCATGATCCACCCAATTTCCAACTCTTAGATCAAAAACTATGTTAAATCAAGCAGTAAGTAGTTTAAAAAACATTTATCTGTTAATCTCTATAAAATAAATCAGGCAAGTGGATTCTTAATACTCTTTGACATGAAAAAGGTAGAGAAAAGGGAACCTCAAATGTGAAAAATGACTTACTTGTTTGGCTTCTTCTGCCACCCCTCCTGACACGAGCTGGCCACTTGAAGGGTCCATGCCTATCTGTCCTGAAATGTAAACAGTCCTGTCGACCAACACGGCTTGGCTGCAATAAACAGAAAGCTAGTGTATTTATATAAGTATAAAATATGAAATTCAATGCTAGAAGACTTTTTTGATAGGACAGAGAAGTACCAATTGTAAAAAAAAAAAAAAAAAAAAAAAAAAAAAAAAAATATATTGAACTTCATGAAAATTAAAAACTTTTGTTTATCAAAGATATCTTTAAGAAAATGAAAAGGGACTGGATGCTGTAATCCTAGTGCTTTGGAAGGGTGAAGCAGGAGGGTCGCTTGGGGCCAGGAGTTTGAGACCAGCCTGGGCAACCACTCTTGTCTCCACAAAAATAAAAAATAGAAAACAGCTGAGTGTGGTGACACACATCTGTAGTCCCAGCTACTCAGGAGACTAGGGTAATTGAATTGCTTGACCCCAGGAGTTGGAGGCTGCAGTGAGCCATGAGTATACCACTGCGTTCCAGCCTCAGTGGCACTGGGAGACAGAGAGAACCCCCCACCCCCAAAATGTGTTGGGGGCAAGTCACAGATTGGGAGAAAAATATTTGCAAAACATATACCTAATAAAGGACCTGTATCCAGAATATATGAAGAACTCTTATAAGTCAATAATGTGAAGACAACCCAATAAAAATGAGTAAATGATACTTCACAAAAGAAAATATACAAAGAGTACATTACATTTTCTCAACATGATTAGTCATTAGAGAAATGCAAAGCAAAACCACACACAATAAGACATCACTGATAAAACAAACGTAGGCAATGATGTGGAGTAACCCTCATACATTGTTGGTAGGAATAAAAAATGGTACAGCCATTTTAGAAAATAGTTTGGCAGTTTCTTTAAAAATTTAAACATATACTTAACATACAACCCAGCAAACTCCTCTTCTTTTAGAGACAGGCTCTTGCTTTGTCACCCAGGCTGGAGTGCAGTGGTAGGATGTTGGCTCCCTGGAGCCTTGACCTCCCAGGCCCAAGCGATCCTCCCATCTCAGCCTCCTAAGTAGCTGGGACTGCAGGTGTACACCACTGTCCCTGGCTAATTTTTAACCTATTTTTATTTTTTGTAGAGATGAAGTCTTGCTATATTGCCTAGGCTGGTCTCAAACTCCTGGACTCAAGTGATCTTCCTGCTTTGGCCTCCCAAAGTGCTGGGATTACAGGCTTGAGCCTCAACCCAGTAATTTCTTTCCTTGGCAACTATCCAAGAGAAATGAAAACATATGTCCAAAGACTTTATGTGAATTTTTAGAATAGCATTATTTATAGCAAAAAAGCAAGACACTTACACATATGCACCCATTGATAGATCCAACAAATGACTATATATTGTCTTATTTCACTTAAATGAAATCTTAGAAACGATAATAGCAGCAGATGATTAATTGTGGTGTCTTGGGCCAGGGTGACCATAAATGGGTACAAGGGAATTTTTTTATTGAGACAGAGTCTTGCTCTGTCATCCAGGCTGGAGTGCATGCACCACTATGCCTGGCTAATTTTTTGTATTTTTCTTCAGTAGAGACGGGATTTCACTATGTTGGCTAGGCTGGTCTTGAACTCCTGACTTCACGATCCTCCCATCTTGGCCTCCCAAAGTGCTGAGATTACAGATGTGAGCCACTGTGCCTGGCTCTGGTACAAGGGAATTTTTGGGGAGTGATGGAAATGTTTTTAAATTTGATTATGATAGTGAATGCATGTTTCTATACATTCACCAAAACTCATGGAACACTACACTTAATTAAAATAGGTAACTGGTTTCCTTTTTTACGAGACAGTGTCTCACTCTGTTGCCTAGGCTAGAGTACAGTGGCTTGATCTCGGCTCACTGCAATCTCCACCTCCCGGGTTCAAACAATTCTCCTGTCTCAGCTTCCCAAGTAGCTAGGATTACAGGCGTGAGCCACCACACCCAGCTGATTTTTGTATTTTTAGTAGAGATGGGGTTTTGCTGTGTTAGGCTGGTCTTGAACTCCTTACCTCAGGTGATCCACCTGCCTCAGCCTCACAAAGTGCTGGGATTACAGTCATGGGCCACCACACCCAGCTATTAAAATGAGTAACTTTTCTTTTCTTTTCTTTTTTTTTGAGATAGAGCCTTGCTGTCACCAGGCTGGAATGCAGTGGCTTGATCTTGGCTCACTGCAACCTCCGCCTCCCAGGTTTAAGCGATTCTCCTGCCTCAGCTTCCTGAATAGCTGGGATTACAGGTGTCTACCACCATGCCCAGCTAATTTTTGAATTTTTAATAGAGACACGGTTTCACCCTGTTGGCCAGGATAGTCTCGATCTCCTGACCTTGTGATCCACCCACCTCGGCCTCCCAAAGTGCTGAGATTATAGGTGAGGGCCACTGCGCCTGGCCTTAAAATGGGTAACTTTTATAAGTAACTTACACCTCAATATAGCTGTAAAACAAACAAACAAAAAATGCAATGCCAAGAGCACTTTAAAAAAAAATAAGTAGTCATCCTCAGATAAGATTAGTCACTGCTTATTGAAAGATCAATTAAGAACACACTTTTGAGGGTACACTTCTGATATGGCTTGGCTGTGTCCTTGCCCAAACTTCACCTCAACTTGTAATACTCATAATCTCCACATGTTGACAGTGGGACCTGGTGGGAGGTGACTGGACCATGTGGCGGTTCCCCCTATGCTGTTTTCATGATAGTGAGTGAGTTCTCACACAATCTGATGGTTTTATGTTTTTGACAGTTCCTCCTACACATGCACACTCTCTCTTGCCTGCCACCATGTATGATGTGCCCCTTCCTCTTCCTCTTCTGCCATGATTGTATGTTTCTTGAGGTCTCCCCAGCCATGTGGAAAAGTCAGTCAATTAACCTTTTTTCTTTATAAATACTTGAGTTGTATCTCTATAGCAATGTGAAAATGAACTATTACAACTTCATTCCTGCCAAGTGGTTACTACTGTAACTGACTTTTTTTGTCATGAGGACGCTAAATTTCAGAAGTAGGATAAAATCACAGGAAAAAGAATACAATACATCGATACCTGAAGAAAAGCCAAACAATTCAACTTTTTATAGGAATCATACTAATTTTGGGATGAAGAAAGCCTGCCTTTTTTTTTTTTTTTTTTTTAAAGATGTTGAAGAGAGAAGCCTTAATGTAATTTTAATTTAGAAGGGAAACACGGTGGGGCATGGTGGCTCACGCCTGTAATCCTAGCACTTTGGGAGGCTCTGGCGCGTGGATCACTTGAGGCCGGGAGTTCAGGACCAGCCTGGCCAACATGGTGAAACCCTGTCTCTACTAAAAAACACAAAAATTAGCCAGGTGTGGTGGTGCACACCTGTAATCCCAGCTAGCTGGGAGGCTGAGGCATGAGAATCACTTGAACCTGGAAGTGGAGGTTGCAGTGAGTCAGGATTGTACCACTGTACTCCAGCCTGGGAGACAGAGGAAGACTTTGTCTC